GGGGAGGAGGAGGGGGACGCGGGCCCCCGGGAGTCGCGCACCGCGCCACCCTACTGGACCGCCGTGTTCCAGTACGAGGCAGCGGGCGAGGACGAGCTGACTCTGCGGCTCGGCGACGTAGTGGAGGTGCTGTCCAAGGACTCGCAGGTGTCTGGCGACGAGGGGTGGTGGACTGGGCAACTGAACCAGCGGGTGGGCATATTCCCCAGCAATTACGTGACCCCGCGCAGCGCCTTCTCCAGCCGCTGTGCGCCCGGCGCGGAGGACCCCAGCTGCTACCCGCCCATCCAGGGTAAGGAGGGGAGCGGGGGCCAGGAAGGAGGGAGGTGAGGGAGGTCTGGGGTCGGGGAGGGAGGAGATGAAGGAGGCTAGTTGGAGGGGGTTGGCAAGGGAGGGGATGAGGGAGGTCCAGGGGCTCGGGGAGGGAGGGGAGACTTCGAGAGGTCAGGCTGGGAGTGGGTGCTGGTGGGGGTTGGTTGACTGGGGAGTGGATGAGCGCGCGCTTGGCTACGGGGGCTCTAGCTGGTGGCCTGGGTAAGCTGGGGACGCCGCAGGCCCTGCCTGGATACTTCTTAACCTTCACTGACTACCAACAGCGGCTTGGGTTTCCGCGTTCTGCAGCCCCGCGTGAGAGTGGCCTTATTTCTCACTCCTTCCTCTTCTCCTACCTGGAGAAGAGAATCTGGAAAGATTTCTAGCAAGCTGGTAGTTACTGTCCTAACCTAGTCCCCAGATCGGGGACCTTGCTGACCTCTTCTGTGGCCTGTCTCCGCCCCTAAAGGCCTTTGCTTTGAAAGAGATGGGGGTGTAGTCTGCGGGCTGGGTTGGCTTACCGGTCCCGGAAGCACGTGTGAACTGAAGGCTGAAGTGACTGTAAAGTGTGTGTTGATTTCTTAGGTCCTAATATTGCATCTCAGAAGTCGTACCTTCAGGAGTCTCACTGAATAAGGTCCTGGGAGGGTGTTGGTGGAAGGCACAGGTGATGAGTGGAGAGGTGATTAGAGAGGGAAAAGTGCCCCCCACCCCAGGAGCACGAGATACAGTGGTTAAATCCCAGTCCCTTGACAGTCAGGCTGTTCAGGAAATAAGTTTTCTCCTTTCTTCACACCCTAGATCCTTGTCTATATTTGGAACTGGCCAAATCTCCGTGGGAGGTGGAGAGGGATATGCTCAGGGGTCCCTCCCAGGACCTGGTTTTAATCCATTTCCCATGAGCCCCCTGTTCCATACCCTATAATATACTCTCCTTTGTTTTTTTCAAAGGAGTTAAATTGCTGCTAGACTTCTTTAATTATACTAGGTCGTTTGAATGAAAGATGTAAATATCTCTGTAGTGCAGTTTACATTGTTTTGTATTTAGGAGTTTCCATAATTTCTTTCCTGTTAAAAAGACATTGTTAATAGTGTTTATTACTGTTGATTCCTTATTTTGTATACTGTGTACCTTAGTTGATTTTTAAAAAATTATTAGCAAGGACCAACTTTAAATAGTTTTAAAACTTCATTTGTAACATTTATCTTTCTGGCCCTGTAACTTATTTTTATCTGAAAAATTTAGACTGTTTTTTAAATATCAGCACTTAGTAGCAAAATCATAACCTCTTAGCTTGTTATTTTGCTCTTTTTCTATTGGTGTTTTCACTGTCAAATTGATGTTCAAATCTTTAGTTCCTTCTTTTTTCCTCTCATTCCATTTACAAATTCATATTTCTACATTTTGATCTTTATAATGCCTGGAAGTGGCAAATTACTTTAAGTTGTTTTCAGGTGCTACATATTTTTTGGTGCTGGTTTGGTAAGATGAATGAAGGCTGAGGGTTTTGAAATAGTGTTGAAAATGAACTTGGTCATATATTGAGTGAAATATGAACAGCCTGGTATGTTAGAAAACACCATGTGGTTTTAAACATAGATCAGATGTTGAGGTTGTTTGTGGGTGAAGTTTAGGGACAGCTAATGTCAGAATAGAGGAGCTTTGTGGGATCTTGAACACGAACTCAGTTTCCTCACTGTCTCATTCTCCAGGCTGTCAGAGCAGCCAGGAGGGGTGTGACTTAGGCTGGAAGAGACTGTCCACAGAGGCAGGCATGGCGAGTTTTGCCTCTTCACTGGGTGGCCAGGACCTGACTGTGTTGCCATAGTTACTTTGGATAGAGTAGACTCCTACATCTGGAACCCAGGCAGTGAGAAATTAGGAAGTACCTTGTACTCTGGGGAAGGTCTGACTTGAAGAGCATGGCGTTGGGAGTCCTGGTGAGTTCTTTTACGTGGCCTTACTGGCACTTCTGATCTTGACTGGAATTAATTCTTGGTGGTTCAGAAAATTTACTTCCAGTCAGAACTAACTCTGAAGAACTAGTGAGTGGTAGATACCAGGAGGTAAAGAAGTGATAAGATAATGGGGTGCTTACACCCCATTACAGTCACGTGAGGGAGACTGGTGATGTGACTATGAAACTTCAGTGTCATGCTTTGGTGAAGATGGACACTGGCAGCGGCTGACAGGTGCATCTCTGATCTCTGTGCTCCTCTCACCTGTTCATTTGGTGCCACTTTGAAAACAAAGGTGATGGACAGACCTTGTCTTCAAAGACTTATGGCGAGAGGGAGCTGCTGGCGACTCTTCTCAGCGTGCTTCTTTTGAAATTCCCTCTGGGTATGGATTATGATGTGTTCTGGGTTGTGAAGAGAAGACATGAAGCTGAGCAATAACGCTCAACCTCAGTTTCATATTGTTGCTTTTTAAAGTGAAAATTTTGCTTCAAACTTTTTTCAGAACAGGAGGGAAAATCACTAGATATTGTGGTAAAGCAAACAATAGTGACATTATAAACTATCCTGTGTTTACATAGTGCTTTTATCTCCTTCATTGTATGTGCACATTAGACTTTAGCTCTCTGTGGATGAAAGATGTAAATAATCCAGGAACTCACTCATGTTTTCTTTTTTTTTTTTTTTGGACAAGGTCTTGCTCTGTCACCCAGGCTATAGTGCAGTGGTGTGATCTTAGCTCACTGCTACCTTGATCTCCTGGGCTCAGGCAATCCTCCTGCCTTAACCTCCTGAGTAGTTGGGACTACAGGTATATGCCACCACACCTAGCTAATTTTTTGTTTGTTTGCTTGGTTTTTGGAGAGATGGTGTCTCCTGCCCAGGCTGGTCTTGAACTCCTGGGTTCAAGTGATCCTTCTGCCTCGGTCTCCCAGAATGCTGGGAATACAGGCATGAGCCACTACTTTGCTTTTTTATTTTAGTGAAAAAAGTGGAAATTGTACAGTTCCAAATTTATCATCTTGGGAGATATAATACTAGGTATTGAAAAGTTTTCTGATGTCATCCATATGAATGAGAGATTATTATGTTACATTGAGGTTATTGATTTATACTTCTTTTTCCTACATCTACTAGTAATACAAAGATGTATTTTTTCAGATGTACTTAAGATTTTTAAGTGAGTGAGGTATATACTATTCACTTGCCCAAAACTCACCAAAGTGTGCCTGTACATTCAGTTTCCAAGTATGTAATTGAGAGGGAATAACATATTGACTCCAAGAGTGAAAGAAATAAGGCTTTGTTCCTGATATTCCTGGAAATATCCTTCTACAGAAACTGAACACTGTGCTGAATGTAGCTTGACCTGATTCTTCTATGAAGCAGGTCTTGACTGGAGCAGGGAAGGGGAGAAGATTGCCACAGACTCTGGCAGCTGCAGGTCTGGTTGCTTCTGTCTGTCCAAAGGGACTTGGCAGGGGAGGAAATAGAAGGTGCAAACCCCCCTCCCCTGACCCTGGGCTCCTTTATCTGTTTGAGAGCTGTGGTATGTACTTTTCTTGGCGGCTTGTCGTAATATTTCCTTAACTAACTCGCCAAGAATCTGAGATCTGATGTTCTTCTCAAAGAAAGGTTGTTGTTTTCCCTCTCCCACAGAGGTTTTTGTCTTCTGTGAAACACGTCCAAGGAGCTGTCCTTTCAGCACTCCGGCTGGAATTGAGTCTTCTAAACCCTTCTGCATTTAGATAAATATTTAACATCTACTGTGTGTTTACAGCCATGCTTCAGACTAGAAAAGGGAGAGAACAAGAGGAAATACAGTTATTAATTCCCTCCAGGAGAAATCACACATTCAGCTGAGGAAATAAGATCACAAATGCAAATTTGTGTCTTTTCGTCAGTGTAAAAACTGGTGGAAAAGCCTGAATGTTCCTTCCCTCCATGACCAAGGAGACCCTTAACATAACCTATATGTTTTCAAGAGGGTTTCTAATCTCTCTTTAACATAGACATCTTTCTGATTCTTGTAGATAGCATCAGGCAAAGATTAGCAATCAGTCAGTATTCATTTTAGGACTCAGAAGCGCTCAAGCTATTTCAAGCAACAGAGGAATTCAGCACAGGAAATTTAGTGCATACAAAATTGGCGGAAGGACTGGGAGAGGTGGCTGTCACTGGAACTGTGCGAGCAACTCCTAGGACACAGCAGAGCCACTTCCCAGGCAAGCTGCTTCTGTCATGGGAAAGGGCTGGACCAACTGCTGCCATGGGTGCTCCTGGCTTCAAGAACCCCCTGCTGTGTCTGCAGTCTGTGATGCAGCAGCACTTGGCTGTTAGGCAGTGCTCTCCACAGTTGCGGACCTGGTACCTGGACACTGACATGTTGCAGAGAACCCTGCTTCTCCCCAGCCGCACTTGCAAGGAGACCAGTGGGAGGATGGCCTCCATCTCCTTCGCCTTTTAAATCTTGTACATCTAATTGGCAGAATTTAATTTGCACTCATGACTCTGGTGTAATGTAGCCCGGGAAATGTAGTGTTTAGCTTCCTGGCCTCTGGAGCACTGGCAGACGCGCTGGAAGGGTTTTGCGATGGCTGGCCTGTGGTGTCTGCCACGCCATTTGTTCTTCGGAAGGACTGCCAGGTGTGCGTGGTCTTTTGAACAGGTGGAGCTTCTGGGGCCGGATGGGCTGTACTTTGTGTATACCTGAAGCCTGTTGTCCTAACTTCCTGAGGGTTTCCTTTGTGCATGCTGTCAGTTGCATTACAAAATACAAGTGGACATTAGTCCCAGGCAGGCTAAAGGTACTTTAACTCAGCAAGAACAGACTTTTTAGCACCACCATCAACTGAATGGAAAATGGAGATTTTGGATTGCTAGCAGTGGGGCTGCTCCTGCCATCTTGCCAAAAGTTCAGAAATATCTTTCTTTTCTTTTCTTTTTTTCCTGAGTCAGGGTCTCTCTGTCACCCAGGCTTGAGCGTATTGGCATGATCACGGCTACTGCAGTCCTGACCTGCTGGGCTTTCTACCTCAGCCTCCCATGTAGCTGGGACTATGGGGCACACCACCATGCCCAGCAACTTTTTTTTTTTTTAAAGAGATGAGAACTAGCTATATTGCCCAGGCTGGTCTCAAACTCCTGCGCTCAAGTGATCCTCCCACCTCAGTCTCCCAAAGTGCTGAATTAGAAGCATGAGCTACTATGCCCAGCCAATAACTTTGTTTTCTTAGTTTTTTAGTAAAGTGTGATTATGCCTTATATTTATTTGTTTCAGAATATCCAATTCATGTGGGTTTTTTTGGTTTTGTTTTTCAGATCTGAATTTGGTTTATTTCCTACTGAGGTGGGGTTGTTTTTTTTTTCTCTTTCAGTGATCTCTTGGTCACCCACTAGATGCTGGGTTTGCTAAGTGCAGGGGTAAATAAGACAGGCAGAGCCCCTGCCCTGTGGACCTTTTGGTTTAGCAGGACTAAGGCTATTGAGTGAGCAACAATGACCCTAATGGATCTTGCAGAAAGGATGCTGCCTTGGGAATGCTTGCTGGGGCCTGGCCTCCCTTGGTCTGGAGTTAGGAGACATTCCTCTGTGAATTTTCATGTAAGTTGGGGCCTGAGGGTGAGTGTGAACCAGGTCATGACAGAAACAGCTGAGAAGGTGGAGAACAGGTTTCAAAACTCTGGTGTAATGTGGCACCATATTGAGCCCATGATTTGTCATCGCTGGCGGCCATTGTTATCTGTCCACGAGTGCCTTCCACACAGAGCTACAACATAAGTGGGTATTTTAGGTTTCAACTCTGGAACCACTGGGGACTGAACTGGGGTACAGGTGACTGCTGAAATAAGGCATCTCCTATGAGGCTGCTTTCCTATGTCTTGGTCATCAGGTCCTGGGAGACAGGCTACATTCTCCCCATAGTCACTGTGGCAGGATGTCATGCTCCATGCCACAGTGGTCTCCTTGGTGGGTTCGTTTGCTGTGGGCTCTCTGTCCTCCCAGTAATATTCCCCATGGCTGCTGGGGTTGGCTTCCTTCCTAAACCACAGGTCTGACAACACTCCCCTTTTGAAGGCTTCATGACTTCTGCTGCCTACAGTGTGAGGTTCAAGCCCCTCAGAGTTGCTTTAAAGACATTTCCCAGCCTGGTTACTTCAGCAAGTCTCCGAGCCTCCTCTCCCATGCTGGTGCATGATCCCGGCTGTGCTGGGTCCCTGAAGTCCTTAAGTGCTGTGGGTACCTTTGCCCCATGTCCTGCCCTTGTCATCTCATGACATCCCCATGCTACTTTAGGGCCTATGGCAGCAATGCCTTCCTAGAGTCCCTTCCCACCGCCCTCCGTGCTATCCCGCTGAGGAGTTAGTGGTTTTCCAAGCCCCTGCTTGTGTTCTGCAGAAGCTCCTCCTGCCCCCCTGCAGTTTGTAGGGGTGTGTTGGCCTTGGCACAGAGTTGTGTGTTGCTCACCCCCGAACACGCAGGCAGAAAGAATGTCTCAAAGAAAGGATCTGCCCCATTCCCTTTAGTTGCAGTGGTTGGCCTTGTGTAGGATTCTGCGTGGGTTTCTGGGGGGATTTATTTCATGACTCTTTATTGAATGCCTACTAAGGAATGTGCAAAAGAAAGTAAGGTAATGGCAGTCCCTGCTCTTACAAAGAGTGCCTCATAATGGGGAGACACAGAGGCCCAGTGAACAGGCTCCGTGCTGTGTCTACCCACCCCCGAAACGGATAGCTGAGCGGTGTTTAGGCGTTTTTGACTTGCTTCTTTTCCTTTCCTCTCTCAGTGTTAGAGATTGACTTTGCGGAACTCACCCTGGAAGAGATCATTGGCATCGGGGGCTTTGGGAAGGTCTACCGTGCTTTTTGGATAGGGGACGAGGTGGCCGTGAAAGCAGCGCGCCACGACCCTGACGAGGACATTAGCCAGACCATTGGGAACGTCCGCCAGGAGGCCAGGCTGTTTGCCATGCTGAAGCACCCCAACATCATTGCCCTGAGGGGCGTGTGTCTGAAGGAGCCCCACCTCTGTCTGGTCATGGAGTTTGCCCGTGGAGGGCCTTTGAACAGAGTGTTGTCTGGGAAGAGGATTCCCCCGGACATCCTGGTGAATTGGGCTGTGCAGATTGCCAGGGGGATGCACTACCTACACGATGAGGCCATTGTCCCCATCATCCACCGTGACCTCAAGTCCAGCAACAGTGAGTTTGGGGGCAGGGGCTAAGCAGCTGTGGACACCATCCATAGCATCAGCAGGAGGGAATTCTTGCCGGGGCCTTGGTGGACAGGGAGGCTCCTTGCCTAGGCATGTTCTGTCCTTGTGTTGAGATGGGTGGGTTGGAAGCCAGGAAAGGGTGGGTCAGGAAGACGGGCTGGGGTGATCTTGAGCTTCTGTTGGCAGGCATGGCTGGAGATGTGCAGTTCTGATGCACTTTCCACAGGTCACCAAGGTTTGTTTTCCACTTGAGAGAAGTGAGTATGTCATCACAGGGACTGGAACAACAACTAAAGCAAACCTGAACCACCTGTTTGAATTTTTACCTAAACACCTCAACTTGAGGTACCATCGAGAAGGGATATGAGAAGGATATAATATTGTTTAACCATGAGCTGATTCAGGAAGCAGTGCTTGTGTGGAGGGCTTGACTGGGGGTGGTATCACAGGTCCTCCTGGTGGCCTGGGGACAATTGCCGTAACTACCCAGTGTTTAATAGCAGGGAACTGAGAAGTAACTGTTTATTAAACATCCAGAATCCATAAACTGACTTTAAAGCAGATGTTATGATGCAATTAAAGGGTGAACTGGTAGATGCCTTGGCGTTTCCCATTGACTGAGTCAGAGAGAACCTGCTTCTTTTTGGCGGTGGTCTGTACTCTCTCTCACGTAAAATGATGGTGCAGAGAACATGAAGCATGTGCTTAGGCTCACCAGAAGAGAGGGTGCTTGAGTGGAGGGACTGTGGGGGTGACATGGGCCCCAGGGACTCACCTTTCTCTGCATCTTTCAGCATTGAGCCTGGAAATCCTTCAGGGTTTGTTTTGTTCCAAGCTGTTCCAGATGTGGCTTATTTTTCTGTCAATGCTATTGTGAATCTGTTTACTTTAGAAAATACATTTTAAAATTATGTAAGTAGTCAGTGCTTGTTGTAGAAAATTAGAAAGTACAGATGAAAAGAAGGGAAAGTTAACCCATGTGATTTCCTTTAGAGAGAACACATATTATATCCTCCCAGACATTTTAAAAACATGTATGGTTTGTATGTATACAGACATATTGTCCAATTTACATTAAAGTCACCTTAATTACCTTTATCTCTTCTACTGAACCCTCCTCCCCCTTGATAATAGAAAGCCTCCTCCTTGCAAGAGCATGGGACGTTAGCTACATCCTGTAAGAGTGATGCATGTGGAGGGTTGAATTACACGAAATAAAACTTGGTTTCCCTTTTTCCCTTTGCCATTTTCCTGTCTCTGTCATTATTTGGTTATTTTCATCCCTCTTCCAAAATCCTACTTAACTGTATTAAATAAATAAAAACTTTTGATGACCTCTTTTCTCTTTTTTCCCAAAGTAGTTTTTAACCTAGAAATTGCTTTGAATGATAGAGTAAAAGAAGCATCTGTGTTGGTGGAAAATGTGATAGAGAAGCTGAATTTTTTTTCTTTTTAGGAATGTATTTTATTTTATTTTTAAGGGACAGGTTCTCGCTATGTTGCCCAGGTTGGTCTTGAACTCCTGGCCTGAAGCGATGTACTTCCTCAGCCTCCCAAAGTATTGAGATTACTGGCATGATCTACCACACCAGGCCCTGATTTAATATTTTTATTTTTTCTTATAATGCTGGCATAATGCCATCCTGAGCCCACTTAGAAAGGACTAGGATAATAAAATTGTAAAAGTTGCCGGGCTCGGTGGCTCAGCCTGTAATCCCGTGCCTTTGGGAGGCTGAGGTGAGTGGATTGCCTGAGCCTGTGGCTTTGAGACCCGCCTGGGCAGCGAGACCTCATCTCTACAATAAAATAAAAAAATCAGCCGGGTGTGGTGGTGCATGCCTGTAATTCTGGCTACTTGGAAGGTTGAGGCGGAAGGATCGCCTGAGCCCAGCAGGTCGAGGCTGCAGTGGCCGGGAGCGGCCATTGCACTCCAGTCTGGGCGACAAAGTGAGACTCCAACTCAAAAAAAAAAAAAAAAAAAATTGTAAAAGTTAATACTTTCCTTGATGAAGTTTTCAATTTGGGTTTAATTTTAAGCTAACAGTACAAGGTTTTACCTTTTATGAGATTTGTGTTTGGGAGTCTAGGCTCTTGAGAAAGAAAAGCTACCTTGCCAAAGCTCTGCTGTTTGTAGGAGCAGGCAAGATACCTGACTTCCATTTGCTCATCCAGGGGACAAAGCTCTGGTCCTTTCTTTGTCCAGAAGTAGGTTTTAGGATTGCCAAGGGGATGCCTCCAGGCACAGTGTGTTGTGGCAGGAGTTGACCTTATACCAGGGCAGTATTTTAAAGGACCTTGTCAAGATAACCGTGCTTCATGTGTTATCTTGTCAAGATAACCGTGCTTCAACACTGTGTGTTGGCACTGATGTTTACACCAGCTGTAAGTCTCACACACATGTCGGGTGTTGTTTAGGTTTGACTGTACATAACCTAGAAAGCAAAACAAAACAACAGTGGTTTAAATAAGATATGCATTTATTTGTCTTTGAAAAGAAGTCTGGATGGAGGCTGAGCATGGTGGCTCATGCCTGTAATTCCAGCACTTTGGGAGGTCAAGGCAGGAAGATTGCTTTGATCCCAGGCATTTGAGACCAGCCATGGCAACATAGCCAGACTCTGTCTCTATAAAAATAAAAAAATTAGATGGGCACGATGATGCATGCCTGTAATCCCAACACTTTGTGAGGCTGCGGTGGTAGGATCACTTGAAACCAGAAGTTCAAGACCAGCCTAGGCAATGTAGTGAGACGTTGTCTCTACATAAAATAAAATAAACGAGGTTGGTGTGGTGGCTCACACCTGTAATCTCAGCACTTTGGGAGGCAGAGGTGAGAGGATTACCTGAGTTTAGAAGTTTGAGACCAGCCTGCGCAACATGATGAGACCTCGTTTCTACAATAAATCAAAAAATTAACATGATGCCGCACATCTGTGTTTCCAGCTACTTAGAAGGTTTAGGCGGAAGGATCACCTGAACCCAGCAGGTCGAGGCTGCGGTGGCCATGTTCATACTACTGCACTTCAGCCTGGGTGACAGAGTGAGACTCCAACTCAAAAAAAAAAAAGGATTTATGTGTCTTCATTCTTGGTGACTTGGTTGTTAGCAAAGGCCTTGATGAAAAATAATCTTGAAGGGATAGGTGGTCCTTTTGTGGGTAAGAGGAGGTATTTCAGAGCTTTGTGTATTAGGTAGCTTGGCATGCAGGCATTTGGCAAGAGAACAGTTTAATTGTGGCCATTAAAAGTTAAATAAGTAAAAATGAGATAATATAACAAAGCTTTAGGAAATGTAAAGACTTATCCAGAATGAAGGTAGTCTTATTATCTTTGTTTTATTATGAAATAATTTCTTTCCTACTTTTGGAAGACATAGAAGAATGTGGAAGTAGAAGCAGCGTGTGTTTTCCAGTTTTCCTGTGTGTCTGTGTGTGTTTATCTTCACCCTGCTAGTGTCTTGATGAACGGGCTACTGTAGCCTGCTTCCCTCCTACATGTCCATGCCTCGTTAGCGTATGTCCCAAGCCCATCCTGTGTCCTGCACTCCTGCAGACAGCTGGGGCCATTCTCCAGGCCAGTCTGCATAGACAGACCTGCAGTGCTTCAGCTTTGTGTCACTGAGAATGTGTCTCTCTGCTCCCAGGGCCATTGCATCCACACTCCATTCATGTTTGACTTTCTCCTGCCTGTGCCTCCCTTAGGTGTCAAGCTTGTTCTTAATTTTGTACCTGAGAGAGCGAAGGTGAGTGGGGACCTGTGTTTGATCTGGGACTGGTCCTGTCTGCCTCCTCATCAGCTGGAAGTTCTTATGAGCTCTTTGCCACCTTCTGTCCTTCCTCTTCCTCTAGAGGCATGGGCTGTGAGGCACGGGCTGTAAGCCATGCTGCTGCCCCTGGCCACTGGAACACACCTGTCTCCAAGGCTTGTGTCACGCAGCCTCTGCTGCAGCATCAGCCTCACCCATGCGTTGAGCCTTGCCCGTGGTGCCCTCATGTCGCCCTCTACCTGTCCGCCTGCTCCTGTGTTCTGTGTTTGGTGCAGACCTAACTGCTTCTCCTTGCAGAAGCCTAGGGTGTGGCCCTGCCCTGGTCAGTGCCAAGCAGTTGCTTGTTGAGCGTGTATTCCCTGGTAGTACATGGAAGGATATCAGTGTTACAAGAGTCTGGAGCCACCTGTCCAGCAGTGGCAGCTGCAACACCTCCCAGCCAGGGCAGATGAATTTGTGTAGCCTTGCCAGGCATGCATGGCTGTAGCAGCACTCCATGGCCTCAGGCTGAGCTTCCTGGGCATCCCAGTCTCCTGATTTCAGGAGCTTCTTGATATCTCCAAATGGAGTTTATGTCTTTAGCTCCCAGGCATGCAGCGAGGCCCTCAATAAATGTGCAGATAGAAGGAATTAATGAATGAATAACGACTGACTGAAGTATCGCTGGACAGGCTTACTCATAGGACCTCACCATGTAACAGCTTCCCTTCTCCCATCCAGGGATGTTGTCCGCGCCTCACTTTCGTGGAACTTGCTTATCATCCTCATTAGAATCCCCAGGCCCTTGGTCTGTTCTGCTTGTCTTAGACCGACCGACACCCTATCTTGGATGCCTCATATGATAGGTTGACCGTATATTAGTCACCGTCCTTGAGCACCTCTGCCCCTCCTTTCCCCACCCCCTTCCTGGGTACCACCCTGCTGGCTCACCAGCTGGATCTCCATGATGACCAGGTGCCGGCTACCACTGCCTGGGGTTACCCAGCCTGCTGTGTTCACCCTCCATGCTGCTTTGTTGCCCCAGGACTTCGCTGGCCTCCCTTGTGGAGGCGCCCATCCCAAGTTGACTGAGCACTTGACTGGCTGATCCTCCTGCACAGGGCCTTTGCGGCCTCCCGATTCTGAGCTCCTGCAGGCTTTGCCCATCTACAGCCTTCTCTCGAGCTCACAAGGCAGGAAACTAAGGACATGCCTTTGTTGGTGTCCAGGAGACAGCGACCA